AGGAAACAGAGAGAAAAAAATAAGGCTGCTAATTTTGAGTGTAGATGGAAGTCCCTGCTTCCCCTTGCTAATGTGCAGCATAAGGATAGCGGCAGCCCACCCTGCCTTACATGGAGAGAAAATCCACACAACTGCTACAACTTAGCTCTGCATCCCCTCCTGTAGAAAAGCATCCCCGCAGCAGTGGTAAGACACAAGAAAATTGGTATTGTTTAGCTGTGACATCAAATACCACTGAATAGGAACAGAGATAGACTGAGCAATGACACAGCTAAAGGGCATCAGAACTGCTGTGCAGATAAGAGAGTGGGATATTGGGTGGCGATTTAACAGCAAAAGAAGAGAAAAACTTCAAACATCACTATGGAACCACAATGGCAAAAATGTGACTCAGAAAGGCCTGCTATGATTTTTTTTGAGGAGGCAGAGGACAGTAACACTACAGTCACCAATGCATGCAGAGCTTACAACAGGACGGGGCAGAGACACCTCCATACCTCTGCTTATTCAGATCCTTCACTTTTAGAAGAAAATCAAAGCTGGTTGATGGCCATCCCAAAACACATGTATGCCTTCAATGGAAACATGAACCACACTTGGGTGTTTAAACAAATAAAAATGCTCATTTCAGAAGTCAGAAAACACACCACCTTCTTGGCAGCAAGCTGTGCCAAAAATCTGTTTTGGGTGGGTGGAATAGGCTCTGTGGCAGCAACTGTTCATATTTCAGTCAACAGTAACCAGCTGTAACAGAGAAAAGCACTGAACCAGAAGAGACCGACGACTCTTTTCTTGTGGGAGGGACAACAGAACTCCCTGCCTGGATGTCATTCTCTTTAATAGGAGAAAAAAAACCTCCAACAGAGAAAGGGAACCAGAATCCTGACCTGCTGCTTTGAGGGAAATGGTGGTGGGCCACCAGGCCCTTCCAGGTGCAGGCCACTGCGACATTAACATCAGCCTTACCCATAGGGAGCAGCTACGCCACAACAGCTGATCTCTGGTACAAAATAATAAACAGAGCTGACAGACACAGTCACCACTGCTAGATGGCTTTATTGAGCATCTGAACCACATTCTCCCCAAAGATTCTCCGCTAAATTCCAACCTTCAAATGAAATTAGAGGCCTTTTTATTGTTAAAACTGTCCACAGTGTCAGTTCTTCCACCATCACCACCGGAAAAAAGTCATCCAGTCTGTGGCCCCCTCAGCCACACTTCTACCAAGGAACCCAAAACGTGCCTTTTTCACGGTATTGCTGTACCAGTCCCAGCTCCTCCACCCTTGCTCCACATGGACAGCAAAATACCCCAAGAACTGTAAGAACCAAGTGTGTTTTTCTGCAAAAAGCCTGAAGAAATCACCGTCAGCAAAGCAACGCTGGTCCCAGCCAGGCCGAGTGAAGCTGTGGGAGGTGGATGGCGAACCACTTGCTCTGGTGCTGCTGCACTGCGCTTTGACAGCAGCTTCTCCAGGAGCAGCTCTCACCAGAGCATAATTAGCTTTGAAATCAGAGTATCCAAACTCTTCATCGGCTCAGAGTATTTCTGGTGGTTTGGACATTTTCGGCAGTGAAATGGGTTCTAGATGAGGCTCTGGGGCTGCCCTCAGCCCCTGCCAAACCTAGCTGACACTTGCTAGTGTGCAGAGTCTGCATTTCCACCTTCCCAGGTGGAACAGGTTTGGCTCCCAACTCAAGAGCTTCCAAGCTCTTGTGCAGTGGTAGGCATCCACAAACAACGTTCTCAGCAAAACGGTTTTTCACCAGTGCATGGGATATAACTGCGTTGACAGGAGACTTCCATGACCCCTTGAACTGAAGGCCTTTAGGAGCAGAACCAAAACACTTTGTAGCTGCTTACAACAAAGGCCTGGGGAGCCTCAGTAGCTCCCAGATTCTCGTGCTCGCTCCATCTCCAGTCCTCCCTGGGCGCTGCTTTCCGCCTGGCCTAAGACTTCAGTCATGCTGAGCCTGGATTGCCTAATGAGAGGAGAGAGTGCAAAGCAGCTGTTATGCCTGTATCCTCCTGACAAAAACATCACTGCGGAATCCCAGCTCTTGAGAAGTTTCTTCCAGATCTGGCACCATTGCTGAGTTTTGCTAAGTCACGCAACCAGCGTCACAGCTTTTTCTCTCCAGAGCCTCCAGGCCTCCTCCTTTCCTCTCTTTAACAGGGACAGAAAGGAGGCAGCAATGGAGGAAAAGCCAGGGTTCTGGCCTCTCTCAATTTTGGTAAAGAAATACTCATGTGCTCAGCCTGCTTGTTTTCTTGGCCACTGCAAAAGTGAAAAACTGATGCAGAGGTACTGGGCTGGGGTGGGGCATGAATTCTGAATAGAATACCTTGTTACGAAACAAGCAGCAACATCTAACTAACTCTGGGAAGACTAAATCAGCAGCTCTCACACTGGTACACGAAACGCACCAGAGAACCAAGAGCAGAAGAACTGGGGTTTAGAAAACCCAGCGTGTCGTGGTTTCTTTCCACGTCTAAACCAACAGACCTAGGCACATTTCGGGTCAAAGACTGGCACGGGCAGAGCCATTCCTTACCACTCCGCCAACTTCTGCTCATACTGCTCCCTGCGCTCGCGATTTCTCTTCTCCTGCAAGGTCTCACCAGCAAGCTGCTGCATTACCATCAACAGGCCCCCCGCAGGGATCCTAGAGGAGGAAGCAGAGAAGTCACAAGTGACCCAGGGGACACACAACAGTCATAACTTACCAGCACCAGTAAAAGGAGCATGCAGGGGACAGCCACCAGATCAGTGGAGCATTACATTCCCCAGGACTCGCATTGCACAATAGGCCAAGGGACTCCTGTTCTACTGTCAGCCCCCAAACACGGCCTCTTTTCGGCTGTGACTCACTGGAGCCCCTTCGATACTGTATTTTGAATTTACTCATTGACAGGCACACATAAGGTAGAGGGGCGGAAGGATTTACGGCGCCCAAGCAACCCCTGTAGATCACTTCACCCATAATTTAGGCAGTCACAGCTGCTCAGCTGCTGTCCAGCTCTGGAGGTACTTGTGTTGTCATTGGTAAAGCTCCCTCGGCTGCTTGGCCACAGCTGACACCATCCTGAGGGCAGCATAGCACATATAAAGCTCATTCTCTTCTCCAGGTGGGATCCCCAAATCCACTTGTGAGGATATTCACAAGTCAGTCCTGAGAAGGGAGCCCAGCAGTGGTGTCTTACTCTTCTGCCTGTACCCACAGACAACACAGGCTCTTAAAACAGACAGCACACAACCATTGGGATCACGAGTGACCGCACCAAGGAAGGGGTGCAGGAGACATGTCTGTAACCTATCCTTTAGGATATTATAGGATAAAATATTTCCTATTTAACAGCAGTTAGCATCTCCTCTAATAAGGACAGAGCAGCAAGTCAAATGTTCTATTGTGAGCACTGAGGTCTTACAACCCAGGAAGCAGCAAAGCACAAATCAAGGAAAAAATAAAAACAAAAAACACTCCAAAGGTTGGAAGAAAAGTCGTCGTCATGAGATCCCAAGAGAGATACAGAAAATCCCTGAGGAGAGAAAGGGCAGCTTCTGTAGCCCCACCTATGATTGATCAGGGCTTGGTGCGCGAGGCCACCACCTGACAAACACCCTAGAGGCGTTGCTGTGTCTCCATCCCCCATTGGCACCAGCCACAACTCACCCAAACACCGCTCCAAACACGAAGCCGCCTGCCAGTCCCTGCAGGCCCAAGTGCATTCTGAAGAGGGCTCCTGTGAGGGCTGGAAGAAACACAAACCCATTGAAATGGGTTTCATTTCATTGAAATGGGAATGAGATTCTGGAGCGTGTTCAGAGAAGAGCCACAAGGATGGTGAGGGGTCTGGAGAACAAGCCTTATGAGGAGCGGCTGAGGGAACTGGGGTTATTTAGCCTGGAGAAGAGAAGGCTGAGGGGAGACCTCATCACCACCTACAACTACCTAAAGGGAGGTTGTAGAGAGGTGGGTGCTGGTCTTTTCTCCCAGGTGATGGAGGATAGAACAAGGGGAAACGGCACCAAGCTGTGCCAAGGGAGGTTCAGGTTAGAGATAAGGAGGAAGTTCTTTACTGAGAGGGTTGTCAGAGGCTGGAACAGGCTGCCCAGGGAGGTGGTGGAGTCACCATCCCTGGATGTATTTAAAGAGCGGGTAGATGAGGTACTTAGGGATATGGTTTAGTGGGTAGACAGGAACGGTTGGACGTGATGATCTCGGAGGTCTTTTCCAACCGAGCGATTCTGTGATTCTGTGTGTGAAATCACAGACAGCCCCACCGGCCATTACACATGGATGGAGGGAGCTGCTTTGCTGCACTTCTCTTCTCTGTGAGCCGATGTCCACTTCTAACAGAGCACAAACCAAGCGCCGTGGCCAGGGACTCCCACCATGCGCTCACCATGGCCTCTGCCCTAAAACATGGCACAAAGCTGCTTCTGCTTCAGAAAAACTCCCCCAAAAATGCTAATAAGTAGAAGTATCTATGAAAGTAAAACTGAGTTCTCTCCAGGCTGATCCCTCCTCCTCCAGGTTTGTTTCCCATTCAACAGCTGCCAGTAACAGTGGCTGCCGTGTAAGGCAGGAAAGATCAGTAACACACAAATCCAGCTGCGAGGGAGATACAGCCTGAACACTGAACAAGCACTTACCCGGAGCCCTGCTGCCAAAAGGGGACATGCAAAGCTTAGCATGAAAAGGAGAGTTTATAAACAGTGCACTGAACTGCTGGAAAGAGCAGAAATAAACGCTTTCCTTGCTAAACAGGTGGTTCTGAGAGCAGGTTATGCACCGAGTGTTGCCTTTACCCTACTCAACATTTTTCACCCAAAAACCTCCAGCAAGTATTCTGAAGATGAACTGATAACCACAGAACTCCCCAATTGTTTCTGAAGTGCATCGCTATCTCTCTGCTCCAAATAAAGGCACGCAGCAGTTAAACAAAGTTGCACCAGCAGTCAGCAGGACAGGAGCACAGAAGCCAGAGACCTGCCCAAATCCAAGATACACAGATTCCTGCTCATGCTTGGCCATTTAAGACCCTTGCCCATCAAGAGAAAAGTACACAGGGTGGTACAGCATCACACAGCAGCCTTACCTCCTGCCGAAGCAAAGTTACCGATGGTGGTTTTATCGCGGTACACAGACAGACCAGTGCTCACCGTGCTGCAGAGATAAGGCACAGAAGAAGTCAGCAGCTGCACATGGAAAAAGGCAGGCAGCAAAACACAGCCCGAAATAAAGCTGGATTTCATTAAGCCAGCCCTCAGGTTGCCTCTAAGTGCCTCGCTGCCCATCTGTCCAGAGCGCACAAGTGCCTTCATTTCTGTGACTCTGCCACAGGCAGCTGCACAGCCAGAGGCTGGGGAATACTGGGATTCCCGGCCTGGATCTGGGATATGCTTTCTTTTTCTTTTCTTTTTTAAATCAAAAGGTTGGGGTTTTTTTCCCAATCATATATTTAAGGATAAAAGGAACTGAGCAAGCCTCCTGCACACCTTCTACAAGTCAACAGCGATCACTTTCTCCTTCCCAATGCTACAACACCCCCCGAGCCTTTGTACAAGTCACAACTAAACTATTTGGCTTTAAACCAAGAAACTCAAAATTTGCACAATCACTACACAAAATCTTCCACTTGGACTTTAGCGAAACAATGAATGCTGAGCAGCAATATCTTCCGTCACTGCCTCTTATAAAGGGGTGGCGAGAAAGGGCAATGGGGGAGACACCTGGTGGAAGACAACCAGGTTACACCTCAAGCGCAGGTAGGTCTAAATAAGTCAAAAGCTCCAGCAGAGGAAGCCAGCAGTAGGGTAACTAAACCTACACACAGATACTGAACCGAAAGGAGTAGAAGAAACCAAGGGGGATCGAGGAAGAAATTCAGAAATGAATTAAAAAAATGAGGGAGACAGAAATCTAAAATAATGTGCTCGTCAATACTGCTGGTACCTTAAAAGAAGAGGGGGACTTTAAACAGCCCACACCTGCAGATACAGTCAGTGCAGGTTTAGGACTACACATAAATTTACCATTTTGAATGACAGCGAAGCAGATATTCCTAGTTTAAAAGGGCTTGATTTGGAAAAGCCTGTTTGGTTTGATGCTGTATTGTCAGAAAGCCAAAAACTACTTCTGCATTGATGGTGTGTGTAGGAAAAATCTGAAGGCCTAAAGAGGTACATGCAACTAGGAGGGCTGATGCTCAGTGACTACTTAATAAGACGATCGTCTGCAAACATTTGAGGACAAGGACAAAGAACTGTGAGTAATGCTGCTGTGTACAAACTAGGAGTAATGAGGCACCACAAAAAGGAGAAAAACTAGCGTGGGATAGAAAGCTCCTCCAGAAACAGCCAACACATTGCAATGCTCTCCAAGAGAAAAATGCAAAAAAAGAGATGAAGCAAAAGCAGAAAGAAGCCGTAGATGTAAGGAGCAGGGCTTTTCCAGTTTCAGTTTTTGCATGGGTTCATTAGATTTGAATTAGGGGCTAATGATAAAACGTGAAACTCTCTTCACGTCCACACCTCCTCCCTCAGACTGACAGCTAACACAGCGCCTTGAGCCTCAGTCACTCTCCAGTCCTCCCCCAAGGAGCCCTGCTGGCACGAAGGGCTCCTTGCCCCCAGCGCTCACACCACACGCCAGCTCTTTTCCCACCACCGTGGGGATGTACTTACTTGAATATCATCACAAAAGCGGCCACCCTCCAGCTCCAGCGCCAGCCGTAGCGGATGAAGCTCCTGAGACCGGCCCGATGTGCAGATTGCTGGGGGGAGAGAGAGAGGAGAGGGGTTACAGATCCCAGCCCTGCTCCTCCCCAGGGCCCGCTGCAACCCAGGGTGCTCGCCAGGGGGACTGGTCTCACCTGGGAGAAAGGGGGGGATGAACTAGAAACAAATTCTCAATTATTATGAGCGTATAAATAAATAATAACCATTAACAAATAATAACCGTAATAAGTAAGTAATGATCACATACTTGAAATGTTAAAAGAGCAGCCAGCTCTGCAGTTCAGCGCTGGTGCTTAAAAGTCTGGCAATAAGTGGCTTTTAAAAGATGTGATAAACTTCATAAAAATTAAAAATAGTCCAGTTAATATTGGGGAAAAAAAAACCCAAAAACCCAACTCTCTTTTCCAGTGACTGTGGTGTCAGTGCTCAGCCCAGGTACAGCAGATACCCAAGAGTCAGCAGAAGAACAGCGTGAAGCCAGGCACCCATACTCTGCAGGTCGCTACATCAGGGGCCAAATCTAAGCAGTAAATTATGTAAAATTTGGCAGGTTTTTAGAGGGATTTTCTTCCTAATAATCCAGGTAACCAACACTTTAATTGAATAACAAACCCCTAAAAGTTTAAGTAAATCTATAAAATGTCACAAATGTTCTTTGTTGTGGGCTGCAGTGATAAGCTAAAAGATTTTAAATGGTCATCCAATAACTCACATGAATAAGGTACGAGGACACTACCAGTTTGACACTACGGAGTGAAGCCTCTTGCCAACATACTAAAATTTAAAAGCCAAAAAGACTTTCCAAGACATATTAATTGCCCATTTAACAGAATGGTAAACCTTGTTATCCAACTTTTCCTGTAACTAAGGGCAATTTCTTTTAAGTTAACCCTGCAGAATTCAGATAATACATAACAGTGACCTGACACACCAGCGGATGAGGCAGCCTGTACGCATTTACACGCTTACAGCAAGCACCTTGGCGGTTTTGCCTCAACCACCACCAAAATTAAGCACCCACGCAGAGCTGCGTGTCGCACATCTGACACAGAGCCACTTGCTCTCCCTTGCGCCACCACAAACTGCGGGCTCCCACGCAAACTTCTTTCACAACCGGAGCCTTGAGGAGGCGAGAGACCCGGGGACGCTCCGGCCCCTGCAGCGGCGGGCGATGCCCAGCGCTCCCCTCCGTGTAACCCCCACCCCCAC